AAATCTAAGCTTAAGCTGTTAGTGACAAGATTTGTTGATGTTCGTTTTGCGACTATTTCAAATAACACAAATAGGGAATCATCTAGTAGTAGAAACATCTTTAATGGCTACAGTTCCGATACAATTCGAGGACCTCAAAAATTGCAATGTTCGCTTGTAACTCAATTCTAGACTGAGATAGTAGACATCCCTCTAATGGCTATATTACTCCAAATATAAATACATTTCAAAGAGATATATATTTTACAGTCCTCTTTAAAGTTTTATCAAATTTATAAAATTACGAAATGATAAATATGTAATTATATTTTTCCTTCATTGTAAAAGAAGAATCAACGGCCGTTTAATTTATTAACTCACAAATTGATAAATAACAGAATTTAGACTTTATGCGTATAGAAAAAAGACAAGAAATAGAAAGATAAGTAAACGGAACAACCGGATTTAGTTTAGTAATTGTAATTTATTCATTGCAGCCAAAATAATTAGCGGAATTTCGTTGAGTGGGTTACAGACCATGTCAAAATTAATACATATAAATTAATGCCATCATCAATAACTAATTGTTTCGGAAATTCGTGAACATTCTTCTAGAGTCTTCTAGAGTTAATCGTCGTGACGTAAAGGATAAAACGCCCGGTGAACTCGTATCGAGCGAGCGACTATGCCGGTGCTCAAATCCCATTAGCAAGTACCATTTTTTCGAATGAAATAAGTACCTGACACGTAATCACGAAATACTTCTACCATGCAGGGTTAACGTCGTGTATTAATTACTTGTGGTAGAACGTATTTTAAGCCCGCCAACGTGGATACCGTTTCTTGATACTGCGAAGCAGCCATATAATCAAGTATTTAACGTCATATCTCAGTGATCGTGGTGGCATTCATTTGGTGATATATAGGTTCGGGTAACTGTTTAACATCAGCTGAGCCGGAAGTTCAATAGCATGACTTTTTTTTTTGCCCATGTAGGCGGACGAGCGTACGGCCCACCTACTCATTGCCCATTTCCTCTTGATCCAATTCCAATCTAATTCCGAGACGATAAATAATAAAAAAAACTACAGTCCTAGAAACTGAAAGTTGTCATTGAAAAAGGTCCCGTTACTTCGATTTTCAAAACTGCCGTGCAAACGTTCTCGTACACGTTTAGGGATGCTAGCCACGCAACTACATGTCATAAAATGCTGTATTATGGGCTTAAGGAACTACCTATTTTATTACCAGTCATTTAATTGCGGGCTTTGAGCCACAAAGTCCAGGGACGGTATGAGTTCGATCAGACAGGCCTGTAAAGTTAACGCAGGGCCCAGTCACAAACCTATGGCCCGTGAATTCCATGAACAAAAGGCACACTCGAGATCACTATTTGGTTATCGCATGTAAGCCGGATATTTACATACTTAACCAGCTCGTTTTTTGATTGTTTAATTATAAATGCAAATATGGAAGTAAATTATTATTCTGAGGTTACCAGAATCAGGATGTCGTTTGATAAAAAAATTATATGTAATTAAATTTCCTAATTAGATAATGTTTGACTACATAACTAAATTATTTGGGGGATTAGTAACGTAAGTGTTCTGATTCTGATTCCGGTTTGTATACCTACCAGGCGGTCTATTTTGTCTTGTCTTATTGTTATGTTTTGTATCTCTAGAGACTTAAGGTATCACCTTTTTTTTTCCTAACTATGCTGATAGCCTTGAGAGGGTATTTTAGCTTCGCCTTGACGTGTAGGTGAGCTCACGACGCTCAAACCGGGAGTGTGGCTAACACTGGCTCTAGTAAGAGCAGTGCTTCGCGAAATATACCACCGGATCGGAAATGCGACTCACTGAGAAGACCCAGCGAGAAACTCAGTGGGCTGTACCTATGGGTTAATTCACTGGTCGAGCCCTTCGTCGCAAGCGGCGGGTTCGCCGAGGACGGTGACCGTTGATTGTGGTACTTAAAAGCACTGTTAAAGAATCGGGAGGATGCGTAATGACGTGTTGGCACCACTAATTTTGTCGTATTGTTACATTTTGCATCCCTAAAGACTCCAGCCGCTTATACCGGGTAGATCTAAAGCTCCTCTGTCAAAGAACGCAAGTTCAACATAATCTCGGAGTCAATAATTTTAAATAAAAAAAGTGCTATTACTCGCTTACTGAATACCATAAAACATGTAATACTAAAAGTTCCTACAGCCGGTTAATAACATACTAACATAAATGGAATACAAACTTCACCTAGTGATCTAAACTTATGGACTAGAATTATTTTTATTGCTTCAATCGATCGACGAACACACGGCTCAGCAGGTGTTACACACACCGAAACATAAGCTGGAAGTCTTAATTGAACTGAATCTGAATGTTCCTCTCGATAAACCGCTTTACGACCGGAATAGGCAGAGTGATAATAATAATAGTCCATTCAAAAATCAAATATACCGACGAAGACAGGAAGACGTGGAAAAGTATGTGGCATTGAGTGATCAACACTTCAAGCTAGACACCATCTTCAGTAATGAAGAAACCGACTAAGTAGAAGAAAATTCAAAAAATAATCAGACAATCGGAATGCAGAACCGGCCTCATCAAACTACTAAATGTTAGTGGAATAATAGCAGATTATAGGGAAGTCCCTATTATCTTTTCACTATTATATATATACCTAGCTTTCAATTTCAATCTTAAGCATTTAGCCTGAAGTTTCTTTGATCAACTTTGTCGGACGGAATCCGTCATTTCGAAACCATTCATTCAATTCTGCTTATGTTTTCCGAAAAATATGCATTCTTGTCTTAAGGGTCGGTATTCCGGTCGGTATTCCAATACGATAGAGGCTCGCCTATATGTCTTATTTAATTTTTTATTGCTGATATCGGTGGACCTGGTGTTAAGTATTTACTGGAGCCCCTAGACATCTAGAACCTAAGTGCCGCCACCCGTCTTGAGGTATGAGTTCTAAGGTCCCAGTTTAGTTACTCAGTATATCTATAGGTAGGTATTATTGATGTTGCCGTATTTTCGAGGTCAGAAAATCATTTAACATTAGGTAGACCTTGGGATTAGACCATTTACGGGATAAAGAAACTAATAATAGACGACCAAATCGGTTTAGTTTTTTTTTGTTTTTATTTTGCAGATCGCATTACCTCGTTCCATATTATCAAAGGTCGTGTTTCCACGTTACACGGCAATAGATTTTATTCACAACTATTATCTCCGCCGTCAAGTACGTAGCTGGCAATTTCATTAGAATTGTACGTAAAAGGAAAAGATCAAGTTTATTTGCCATTGCCGTAAATTTTTGCACACGTTCAAGTTTGTTTAATCGTTTTTCTTGTTTTCAATGTACCTACCTACCCCATTTCGATCATTTTAAATTGATAAATCTCGTTCATTTCTATAAATACATATAGAACAAGTTTGCTGGAAGGTACTTTTCACATTCTATTTAGTTTTATACATCTATTGAATAATTAATGAGTTGTAAAAATTACTTTAACGATAAGTTCTTTTTCTATTTTTATAGACTTATAGACTTAATATCCTATCTCATCAATGCAAATTGTCAGTTCTGAACTTTTTATTTTTTTTACTATTATTAATAATTAAAAAAAAACTGGTTTCGCGGTTAGTGGAATAAGAGACCTTAATGTTATTGCCAGAGCCCATAAGCACCAAGACGCGAATCCTACCATCGATATTAAAATATAAAGTCGGAAGTATTAGTTGCGTTGTCGAAACGCTTTTGATCCTTCAAGGTGAAAGGCATGTTTCCCGAAACCAACATTATACAAAGCAACGTACTGTAACAATAATTTTGTTCTTATCTTATCTTTCTTATATCTTTAAACGAGCTGTTCTTGTATATATATTTTATATAATCTGAATCTCGGAAACGGCTCTAACCATTTTCATAAAATTAAGTTTATAGGGGATTTCGGGGGCGATAAATCGATCTAGCTACAATTTTTTTTTCTCTGACATAAAATGGAGGAATTTTGATGATCATGATTGATTCAATCAGCAGGGATTTATAAAATAAATTATGCCTCTTTTGCTTCTTAAGAGATACATTTGGTTCAACAGATTCTATTATATCTTTGGATTCTATCAATACATTTTTGCTCGGTCAAAAAATTTGACCCTTTAAAACCTTAGTTAATATTAAAAAATCATCTCAGTTAACCTAGCACATCTAGAAATCTAGAATATATCTTGATAATAGAGGATCGTTGGCAGCCCTACTTTCAATCGGTATTAGTTAAAACGTCATTTAAAATCTATCAAAAGTTCATCAAAATCATTAATTAAAAACAGTTTGCTAAGGCCTTGATAGCTAAAACAACGCTATTTAAAGATCTGGATTTTAGTCCTTCATCCAAATCTTCATTAATTATTAAAAACTCTGTGCTGTATGAAATACGATTTGGGGCGGTATAAAATGAAGTCGACTTATCTGGAATTAATTATCGGATTAAATTGAATAAAACGAGATGAGAAGAAATGAAGTGTGTCTTATTATAATGAAGGAATTTTATTAAGACTACAATAGATTTTTGGAAGAACCGAAAAGGTCACGTTTTTTTTTTTTTTTTTTCTACTGTGGCGGGTAGTCATCATACAACGCAAGATAATTGACAGATGCCTGAATCTCGCTTACGACATTTTCAAGATAAAGCGCATATATATAAGTTCCGAACAACAACATTGGGACCGTCGGTCTACCAAGCAAATATCACCGGCTCGGTGGAAGATCTTCCCTTTGTCGTCAAGCCTCCCAAACTACAAACGCACTTTTTCGCAGATGATAAATTGTTAATAAGCCACAATTATGATATATTCAAATCCGAAAAAGTTGTTAATTAACATTATGAAACAATTCAGAGAACTTCTGTTCTATACTTCCCAAAAAGCCCCAGTAACGCTATTGTGGTGCGCAATGTTTCTATTTCCTAGAAAGAGCGTGATTCGGTTATTGAAATCGGTATTTTCCCTAATTTATTTTGTTTCACGTTTCAAAGACTTTTCAACTTTGTCCCCATCATTATGTTCGGGCGATGATTGTCTTAATAACTCAGATGCTTCAGCTAAGTGTGGCATGGTGTTCATGCGGCTTCCGTCTCCCGTCGCCATGCACAATGCACATATATACTTATACACATTTCCAAAATGTTGCCATAGAGATACTAAATTGAGAACAATTGAAATAGTACCTTCATTGGCCGAACTGTCAACCGAAGTAAGCCATGTTTGTTCTTATTTTAAATACATTTAAATTGATAAATAAATATCCGTCCTATTTAACTTTACTGTGCACTATATGTAAATGGACTGTTCAGATGTATCCAACGATTTTAAATAACATTTTTAGTATGTTTTCTTACAGCGGGTTCATAAAGCTCCGATAGCTCAACGTTATCCGGACTATAAGTCAGTAAATTTATCATTTTACTCATCAGTGATTGTACGTCATTACACACATACATTAAATATCTTTCCGAATTTTTTATTTTATTGCTTAGATGGGTGGACCAGCTCACAGCCCACCTGGTGTTAGGTGGTTACTGGAACCCATAGACATCTACAACGTAAATGCGCTAGCTATCTTGAGATATAAGTTCTAAGGTCTCAAGTATAGTTACAACGGCTGCCCCATGCTTCAAACCGAAACGCATTACTGCTGCACGGCAGAAATAGGTGGCATGGTGGTACCTACCCGTGCGGACTCACAAGAGGTCCTACCACCAGTACAGTATAAGTCAATAAATTTATCATTTCACTCATCAGTGATTGAATGTCATTACACACATACATTAAATATCTTTCCGAAATCAGTCTTTATGTCAACGCAATTAGGATGTCGAGTCTAACAATAACCTTCCTACTCGCCTTGGGTAAGGCCGTCGGCATTCACGTTTCGTGTAATTACATAAACTTATGTATCTCTATTTCTATTTATGATTTTTAAATATAAATCAATTAATGATATACAGTGACCGAGAAATTATAAATTTTGGTCTTCGGATCCACGCAAAATGACCAAAATACATTTTGAACCAAGGACATCGACAAAAAAGTGCATCATTAAGTTATGTTAGGTATATTTTTAGACTGACTTGTGCAACTTAATTAATTCGGAATGTTTTGTTACTGAATTGTTTTATGTTTTAATTATTCGTTTTTGAAATCTGTAATCGATTAAATGGTGTGTTTCGCCTAATGTATTTGCCTAATGTATGTAATATCTTTTGCCTCTGTTTGTCGATCCTTTTTTTTTGTTTATTTAGTGACTCGTGACATTGACATTTTAAAATGTCAATAACAAGAGGAAAAAAATTAGAACATCAAATCGAAGAATTTAATTACTATATACTGAGAGTATACATATAATACATCATCATTATCCTGCCCTTCTCCCAGTCACCTGGGGTCGGCGCAACATGTTTTCTCCTTCCATACTCTTCTGTCATATACCATTTCTTCGCTCACTCCCCTCCTACCCATATCGTCTTTCACACAATCCATCCATTTCTTCTTAGGTCTACCTCTTCCTCTAAATCCTTCCACATTCATAGTTAACACTCTCTTAACAACCTCATTTTTATTTCGTCTCATCATATGTCCATACCATCCCAAACGTGCACTCCTCAGCTTCTCTGTCACAGGTGCCACTTTCAGACTTCCTCTAACATATTCATTCCGTATTCTATCCATTCTCGTTACTCCACACATCCATCGCAACATTCGCATCTCTGCTGCATGCAATCGCCTTTCATCCGCCACTTTCGTTGTCCAACAAGCTGATCCATACAAGACGNACATCCATCGCAACATTCGCATCTCTGCTGCATGCAATCGCCTTTCATCCGCCACTTTCGTTGTCCAACAAGCTGATCCATACAAGACGGCAGGCCTTATTAAGGTCTTATATATCTTCCCTTTTAGGGGAAGAGGGATGTGCGAGTCACATATGGTGCCCGTGACCTGCCGCCATTTCATCCATCCTGCGTCAATTCTGTGCCTCACACTGTACGATCCAGTTCACCGTCGCTTTGGATAACAGACCCTAGGTATCGGAAGTCTTGACATACTGGCAAAGGTGTTCCGTCGAGGGAAATGGGTGTAAAATTGGAGAGACCGCCAAAATCACAGAATAGATGTTCGGTTTTCGATCTGCTGATTTTTAGGCCAACACTCTCCAGCTTGCATCGCCATTTCTCCAGTATGTTTTGGACCTCGAGCCCGTTTTCTCCGACGAGCACTATGTCATCGGCAAACAGCATACACCAAGGGGGCTCTTCCTGTATCTCCGATGTCAAGGCATCCATCACAAGCAGGAAGAGATAGGGACTTAGTGCAGATCCTTGGTGTAAGCTCACTGCCACACTGAACTCGTCGGAATTCCCCGCGGCGGTTCGTACATACGTCCTGGCTCGACTGTACATGGCACAGATTAACCTCACATACTTACCAGGTATATCTTTCTCATTCAATGCCCACCACAAAACTGCTCTAGGTACTCGGTCATACGCTTTTTCCAGATCAACGAACACCATATGCAGATTCCTGTGCACGTCGTGATGTTTTTCGCACACTTGGCGGAGTGCAAATATGGCGTTCGTTGTCCCGTGACCCGGCATGAACCCGAACTGGTTTTGGGTGATCTCACTTTCATCTCGCAATCGCTTTTCTATCACTATACATATAATACATATATGACTAAAATGATCTGTTTTTTTTTATTGCTTAGATGGGTGGACGACCTCACAGCCCACCTGGTGTTAAGTGGTTACTGGAGTCCATGGACATCTACAACGTAAATGCGCCACCCACCTTGACATATAAGTTCTAAGATCTCAATATAGTTACAACGGCTGCCCCACCCTTCAAACCGAAACGCATTACTGCTTCACGGCAGAAATAGGCAGGGCGGTGGTACCTACCCGCGCGGACTCACAAGAGGTCCTACCACCAGTACTTATAATTACGCAAATTATAATTATAAATATAATGGTGTTGTGATTCAGATGGAACTCCAGCCGCTTCAACTAATACCATTAGAAAGAGTGGAAACTTGTACGAGTCTCTTAGCCTTTATTTCATTCAAATTAATAACAAAACTGCAATAATATTAGCTACTTTAAAATGAAACCAGTTTTCGCGCGCAAAACAAATGCTTGAATGTTGCATTCGGCATATCGAAAGTCGACGAACATCGTTTTCGAGAATTTTAATAGGACTTGTTGTTTCTCCCTAAAATTGACTTGAGATAAAAAGATCGCCATTTTCTTTACAATTTAATTTATAACTAGCTGACCCGGCAGACTTCGTAATGCCTAAACCTAAACCTTTGTATAAAATAAACTTAAAACAAACAAAAGAATCCGTCCGACAGGAGACACTGGTGGTAGGACCTTTTGTGAGTCCGCACGGGTAGGTACCACCGCCCCGCCTATTTCTGCCGTGAAGCAGTAATGCGTTTCGGTTTGAAGGGCGGGGCAGCCGTCGTAACTATACTGAGACCTTAAAACTTATATCTCAAGGTGGTTGGCGCATTTACGTTGTAGATGTCTATGGGTTCCAGTAACCACTTAACACCAGGTGGGCTGTGAGCTCGTCCACCCACCTAAGCAATAAAAAAAAAAAAAAAGAAAAAGACACATCAAAGGAAAAACAAAATTGTTATTTGTATTTGTTTCCAAGCATTTTCATATTTATCTATCTTTTAAACCTTCTCTGGACTTCCACAAATAATTCAAGACCAAAATTAGCCAAATCGGTCCAGCCGTTCTCGAGTTTTAGCGAGACTAACGAACAGCAATTCATTTTTATATATTATTCTTATATAGATATATAATTCTATTGGTCTTTTTAGTTCTAGAACAAACAACTTTGATGACCACGATTTTTTTTGTAAGATTTTTTATTCAAGTGTTAATATTACTTTATTCATGAACTTATTTTATGTTATAAAAAGAAAATTCACAGCGAAATGAATATTAAAATCACAAAGTTAATGGAATTGTTGCCTCAAAAAAATTTAACCCTTACACAGTATTTTCATTTGCTGATATCATATCTCTGAAAACGTGTTCGGTTTTTTGTATTGCTTCGGCTTCGATGGGTGGATGAGCTCACGGCCTGCCTAACGTTAAACGGTTCCCGGAGCCTATAGACATCTACAACTTGAGACTTGAGTTCTAAGGTCTCCATTTTGACAATACAAGGACTGTCCCGCCCTTCAAACTGAAATGCATCAGATGCGCATGAAACGTCCAGACAAAGAGAGAAAGCAATGTTGAACAAAAAAACAGCGATGGGAAGAGAATGGTAATAAATGGGTTTGTTTATTACTCTGGGATTGCTGATGATGAAAGATATAACAGGTATGTTACAGTGTTCTATTTTAAAAAAATATTCTATTAAAATTTTTTTTACAATAGACCGAATCTTTAACGTATTCTTAAATAATGAAGAAAAATGAACACATACATATGCATAAGTAAAAATAAAAAACTAGTTTAAAAAAGATCTTTCATAGACAATTTCATTCACCTTTCACGAAGAGAAACAATTCAATCTTACTATAAATGAATTTATTATAGTTTTAATTTTATATTGACAATAAATTTGTATTTATATTACAGAAAGCCCAGTAAGTCTTTCATTGTCTGGAGTATTTGATATCAATATACATTAAATGTACTGTGTGACTGTGGTGTTATTATCCTTTACAGGCTCGCAGTACGTTCTACCATAAGTCAACAAGCGATTCTTGGAAAATACGCATAGCAACCTTCAAATAACAAGCTAAATTTGGCAGAATATAAATTACACTCGCTGCCAACGATACTTACTAGAGACGTTCCATTTTATGTTCTCAAGTGTACTTAAGTGGTTATTTTATGTCAGCATTCGTCGTAACTTCTCCGACAGTCTTTGCAGAAAACGTTAATTACTAAATTAATATTTCCTATTTCATTGGGCTATTTAATTTTTCTGAAGCGAAAAATCTTGTACTATAAAAAATTAAACGAATTACGTTTTTAATCGATAATGGTTTTTCGTCTGGAGATATCAGCCAAATCAACTCGGTCAACCGTTTTTTACGAACACCATTTATTTTCTACTCACACATCTTAACACGTTGAATGCCACATGATAAATAAAGTATTTTCATTTAGGCCACGGTGTTTTTTTTCCTACCTAAGCTTGAGATAGCCTTGAGAGGATATTTCTGCGTAACCTTAACTAGTAGGTGAGCTCACGGGGCTCAAACCGGAGCGATGCTAACATTTACCTTAGCAAGAGCAGTGCTTCGCAGAATCTACCACCGGATCGGAAACGAATGGCCACGGTGTTCACCGGTGAGCCTTATCTTACTGAACCGTTCGGGCCGTGAGGGCCACTCGTGAGCCGCGTGAGGATTCCAACGTAAACGCTTCCTACAAGCCATAGATTGCAGTTATCAAACAAAACGCGTATGGAAGAGAACCGCATGGCCCTTTAGCCGAACCAAACGTCCTAGTTTTCAAATACAATAAAAAATTGTAGATTTTATCAAGATTATATAATAGCCTTTTAAACATTTTAAAAACTAGACGGTAAAAGTCGCAAATTTTTATCTTCCTCGCAAATTATCGGATTTTATAAATGTTGGGATGATATTACTGATTCCCTGATTTTGGCTTGGCCCGAATGGTATAAGCACACTAGGTCCACCGGTGGTGTTCAACGTGTTAAATTATTTTATTTAATCAAATAAATAATAATTGGATGTTGATAATTTAATAAATCTTATTAATCAGTTATTACGTGGATTATTCTAAATTTCAATATGTGTTTTAAGCTCTTAGGTTCTTCTTAGGTTCTCTTAGGTTCACCAGTTCTTAAATTATTACCGCTGGGGAAACCATTTACGAATACGCGGTCAGGGGGTAAGAGACCGGGTTATGTCGGACTCCGGCGCCTCCAGAAAAGAACAGGGAGAAGAAGAAGACCCGGGTCCTCCTCTTCTTCCAATTCCTGCCGGGAGACTACGCCTTGAGGACGAGCGAGGCGCTGCGCGGCGTCTACCACGCAGGACCCGCCCCGCAAAACCGACTACCGACTAAACCCCATCGAGCCCCATCACTCCGACTCCACGAAACCCACGGTACCGCACAGTGCGCGTCTTAAATTATTACCGGGGCACATATGTGTTACGAAATAAATACTCTCGGCATTGTTATGTGTCATTAAACTTGTTATTGCATTTTTTATCGATGTACAAATAATCTACATGTACAAATTATTTAACCAGGGACAGCGGAAACATTATTTTTACATTGTGTTATAAAGATTCTCTCATTGGGGAATTAATTAGCTTAACGCTTAATCAGTTTGATTCAGTTTGATTAGATTCGTATAGGCTATATTATGTTCAAATATACTGTTAAAACTTGAATCGCAGTAAAGAAAGTATCGTTTGGCGTTTGATTCTAAATAGTGACATTGTTTACCTATACCTATACATATTTGCTTATTGGATATATGGAGATATAGCCCAAAGAAAGGGAATACTTTTTTGTATGGAAACTAGCGAAATCTTGTGGCGGATGCCCCTAAACTTGTATGTTATTAAAGTTACGGCATTTAATTATTGTATAACTAAAGGCAGAAATTTATAAAATTATAAATCATACGATTTTTTTTTTATAGACTATTTGATTAAAAATTTTATCAACTTGTTGTTTTTGAAAATTTACAAAATTCTTCATTATAAATAATATATAGGATAAGTAATAATATGTTACTGTCATCTACAGAAGCAATGAGAAACTAATCGAAGCGAAGCCATCTAGTGGCCGACGCCCATAAACATATTTGTTGAGTGCTTGAGTTGCTTATCTATAACTTTTTTTATTTTTTATTGCTTAGATGATTGGACGAGCTCACAGCCCACCTGGTGTTAAGTGGTTACTCGAGCCCATGGACATCTACAACGTAAATGCTCCACCCACCTTGAGATATAAGTTCTATGATCTCAGTATAGTTACAACGGCTACCCCGCCCTTCAAACTGAAACGCATTACTGCTTCACGGCAGAAATAGTAGGGTGGTGGTACCTACCCGCCCGGACTCACAAGAGGTCCTACCACCAGTAAACTAATTTATGTGTATTATCTATGCTCCAGCTCAGTTACCGCTCTTTAAAACGCCTTGCAAATCAGGTGCAATCAGTGGCGTTAATTTATTTTTAAATTTCTCAAAAATCGCTCGAACAGTGGATAGTTTTTTTGTTTTTGCTTTGGAGCATCGACCTTTAAGCTGTAATTTTACTAGATCTGTAACTGGAACGAATCTTCTCGCATAAACCGCCACATTAAAACTAAATTTGCGTATTACAGTATACAAATACAGGTTACGTACGTTCAATACGAAATTTTGTGATTCTGGAAATCCTTTATTTTTCTGGACATGTGCCGAATCTCAGCCGGTTTTCGCGCCTAAGGAGCGCGCGGGTTTTTTGACGCAGATCTTGGTAGGGGACAGTGTGCCCAAGTTTTTAGGGCCCTACCCACAAAACAACTCCCCTTACGCTGTCCCATCCGACCTCCGGTCTAGAGTAGGGGTATTCCCGCGGCTAACACTAGATCCAGACTCGTGGCGCCATCCCGAAGACTCTCGATAATGACCTATAGGGTCGTCGAGCGATCGTCAATGATCAAACGAAGGCGGGAAATTATGGATATTATGCAAAGTTAAGCTATTTACGTATTTACGCGAATTATATTGTTTGCTAGTTTTATTTTTATTACACGATGTTATTACTACATCGTCAAGTTATTTGTGAACATTTGTTAAGTACGTATTTCATAAGAATAATTGGTACCTGCCTTCGGGATTTGAACATCGGCATGGTCGCATAGCTCAGTACAAGGTGCATTCTCGTGAGGATGCTTGTGAAGAGCTCAAGCTTAGCATTCCAAGACTGCAGTGACAAGTTTATTATGTATAAATTGACATTGGTAACGTCGGGGTGAATGGATTCTCGAGTGGAAAACTTGGCATCGATGCACATATTAATTTTATTATATTCATAAATGAAAAGAATATGTATGCGTATATTATTATTACAATGTAACACTTGTGTTTTGACGATTTAAATTTATTTATGATAAACAGTTTTGTTGTACAACTTTTCTTTTCCTTCGATTTTTTTGTTTGTCTTATCGTGCCTAAAATTACGTGTATCTAGTAAAAAAAAGTATCATTAAATCTATTGGGGCTTAGCTAAAAATTTCCAGACACTTCGACCCTTAGAATCTTTTTTGTGTCATTCTCCTGTCCTCTACTCTTTACATCCAAACACCACTTACATGATTTTAGTCGCATTTCCGAAAGAGCCCTCAAAACATTCTTGGCATAATCGGACTTACCGCTTAAGCCATAGCTCCAGGTTTATTACTCGGTGTATTAATTTTTCTTGGAATTAAATCAATAATTACTGTTAAATATTTATTATTATTATGACGCCAAAACTACTCCGTGTACCGTTTGTGTGCTGTTTGCAGGAATATTCATTGCTTCAATGCCATTAACTGCGATTTCACAGATAAAGACGGGTTAAAAAGTACACACATTAAGCAATTTATTTAAATATTTGTACATAATGAAGTCATCGTGGCCTAAGGGATAAGACGTCCGGTGCATTCGTGTTGAGCGATGCACCGGTGTTCGAATCCCGCAGGCGGGTACCAATTTTTCTAATGAAATACGTACTCAACAAATGTTCACGATTGACTTCCACGGTGAAGGAATAACATCGTGTAATAAAAATGAAACCCGCAAAATTATAATTTGCGTAATTACTNGGATAAGACGTCCGGTGCATTCGTGTTGAGCGATGCACCGGTGTTCGAATCCCGCAGGCGGGTACCAATTTTTCTAATGAAATACGTACTCAACAAATGTTCACGATTGACTTCCACGGTGAAGGAATAACATCGTGTAATAAAAATGAAACCCGCAAAATTATAATTTGCGTAATTACTGGTGGTAGGACCTCTTGTGAGTCCGCGTGGGTAGGTACCACCGCCCTGCCTATTTCTGCCGTGAAGCAGTAATGCGTTTCGGTTTGAAGGGTGGGGCAGCCGTTGTAACTATACTTGAGACCTTAGAACTTATATCTCAAGGTGGGTGGCGCATTTACGTCGTGGATGTCTATGGGTTCCAGTAACCACTTAACATCAGGTGGGCTGTGAGCTCGTCCACCCACCTAAGCAATAAAAAAAAAACATAAAATATGCGTAGATTGTTGAAATTTTAGAGACATTACCAGAAAATATGAACTCACTATTCTTGTTCACGTTTTTATAGCTCGCTCTCTCGTATGTGTGTGTGCGTATGTTTGTCTGTTTTCGTATAGAATTTTTTAATTGCTTTTAAACTGACCGGCTGAATGCGCTAAAACTTTGTAATGTAAGTTGAAATCGGATGATCATAAAAAAAATATAATTTTAACAATACGTCTAATAACCTTGATTTCATTTTTCACTGTATATTTTCTTTATTGTATTGTAAAAACACAACCGTCACCCAAATCATCCATAAACAACTTCTGCTGCATCAATACTTTAGTTACATTCTCACGTTGAAATATGAAGTTATTAAAAAGACAGTTATGGCATTTATCATGAAGTTATTAAATGCTTACGAAATATGATTTCACTAAAACGCAATACCTATCAATAAATTAAAATATATCAGGATCATTTTTTTAGAATATCAGAAGATACACTGTTAACAAACTAGGAATTGCTGAAATAAAAACTAGAAACACCAAGACATGCAAATAATAATTAAAAAAACTAAATAAAATGGCGCCAGTTGCATCTATATACATAATAATATGTATCCCGTCTACTTTATAGCCAACTAGCGACCCGCCCTCGCTTCGCTTCGGAAACATTAAAACACACATGAAACAAAAAAACAAAAATAAAAAAAATAAATAAAAAAGTAGCCTATGTTCATCAGGGACAATGTCGGCTTCTAATGGAAAAAGAATTTTTCAAATCGGTCCAGTAGTTTCGGAGCCTATTCGAAACAAACAAACAAACAAATCTTTCCTCTTTATAATATTAGTATAGATATAAATACAACGCATAAAGATCACGAGAAAACTCTTATTTAAAATCCAATTAAGTTATCGTCAGATGTAATCATTAATAAAACCATTAACTTCAGCCCAGTCCATTCCTCATTTAGAATTATATTGATTTTTTTAAATTTCATTTTACATTTGTTACAGAATAAATTGTAAATTATTTCACGATGGCTTTATTAACGCTTATTTTTGTTGCAATTACAAAAGATGGCATAGTGCGGATTAATGGTCGTAAAAAAATTAATTTACGATTTATTTAGTGACTGATGTAAAATGAAATATAAAAATCAATAATATAATAATCATAATAAAGACGAACATACCTTTGCACTTTCAATCACAGCACATAAAAAAAGAAAACACCAACGCAACAAAATTGCATTCGAAATTCGATTGTTTCAAAATGGCCACTTTTCCCGCCAAGACGTGCATACGCCACGTTCAGGTTCGAAACATTGAGGCTTTAACGACATTTGTTGTATAATGATTTACATTCGTAATGATAAATCATTCAACCTCGGTTTGTGAATTACGTGTTCTGTTGTTTATTTCATTTAGCCATTCGTTTTACACGAAGACGTGGAACGCTGTAACGGTTTCGCGTAATCCTTATTACTGGTGGTAGGACCTCTTGTGAGTCCGCGCGGGTTGGTACCACCACCCTGCCTATTTCTGCCGTGAAGCAGTAATGTGTTTCGGTTTGAAGGGTGGGGCAGCCGTTGTAACTATACTTGAGACCTTAGAACTTGTATCTCAAGGTGGGTGGCGCATTTACGTTGTGGATGTCTATGGGCTCCAGTAACCACTTAACACCAGGTGGGCTGTGAGCTCGTCCACCCATTTAAGCAATAAAAAAAAAACCTATTTAGTTTTTGTATACATTTCTTTATTTTGCGAAACAACAAAAAGTCTTATAACTAAAAAATGAAAAACGAAAACTTCATCGTCGCTATGTGTCTAATCTAGAACTAAAATATTTAAGCGGATGGTGCATGCGATGCCCTTGCTATTGCCCGCACCCATAGATAACAGTAACAACCTACCACTGCTTGTTTTCTTGTCTGCTGTCGGTTGCAATAAAACTAATCTAAAATACCTACGTACTGGTGGTAAGAGGTACGTTTTTACTGGTGTTAGGACCTCTTGTGAGTCCGCACGTGTAGGTACCACCACCCTGCCTATTTCTGCCGTGAAGCAGTAATGCGTTTCGGTTTGAAGGGTGCGGTAGCCGTTGTAACTATACTTGAGACCTTAGAACTTATATCTCAAGGTGGGTGGCGCATTTCCGTTGTAGATGTCTATGGGCTCCAGTAACCACTTAAGACCGGGTGGGCTGTGAGCTCGTCCACCCATGTAAGGAATAATAAATAAATAAATAAATAAAAGTATTCGACACTGTGAATTCCCCAGACATCATAAGTGAATGCCATTACTCATTTTGAGACACAATGACGAAGCCTCAGTCACGTTATGGTATTAGTAACTACTTTCCGCGAACATTTCGTGCACAATGTTTCCTATCAGCTATGCTCAAAACAGAAGGAAATATATAGTAGTAGCAATCTTATCTGTTTTATGAAATAACTCAACAATTCTTTGCAACCTATTATTTATAGGGCAGTACTTCCGCAGTGCAGTATGATGTGTGACGTAATCACTAGTGTGTATAATCTACAAAGCCAAAACCAATTTATATTTACGTATTTTCTGTTAAATAAAATATAGACATAATGGAAAGAAAAAAAAGCTGTAGCTCTTGGTGAGTATATGAGCTCGACTAGAGCCTAATTGGATCTTCTTATGCTGCTAAATGTCGCCTCTAATATGTACTTAACTGATCGCAGGTCATTTCCAAAGTAAAGTCTCCTGCACATTTCTGGCGTAAGCAGTCTAGCGTTAGCGTTTTTAAGGATAGTCTTGTAATGCCTTTAGAGTTCAATATCGCGTGTTAAGGAAAATGTTTACATTCACGTTTGTATCGTGGAATTCTGGTAACCGATTGACACTCGACAGGCTTCGAATTCGTTTGAGCATCAATTCTAAAAAAAAAAAANATCGCAGGTAAAGTAAAGTCTCCTGCACATTTCTGGCGTAAGCAGTCAAGTGTTTGCGTTTTTAAGGATAGTCTTGTAATGCCTTTAGAGTTCAATATCGCGTGTTAAGGAAAATGTTTACATTCACGTTTGTATCGTGGAATTCTGGTAACCGATTGACACTCGACAGGCTTCGAATTCGTTTGAGCATCAATTCTAAAAAAAAAAAAACACCATTGCCGTGAGTAAAATTATTTATTAGCTCACGCTTGTAAACGAGAAAGCTGTTTACGTAAGTGTCGTTAAAGCCCTTGTCAAAATAAAAAGTACATTGCAAAGTCAAATACAGCTGCTGAATGATTTAAATATCGGGGATTCGGTTCGAGATATTACAGTTTTTTTTTATTGCTTAGATAGGTGGACGACCTTACAGCCCACGCGGTGTTAAGTGGTTACTGGAGCCCATAGACATCTACGACGTAAATGCGGCACCCACCTTGAGATATCAGTTCTAAGGTCTCAGTATAGTTACAGCGGCTGCTGTTAACTATTCAAAAACTATTGCATACAAATTGTCCCTTTCGTTTGACCTTCACGAGCATACCTTGCTTTGTCCTATCCGCCGGCTTTGGTTGCATTATGTTATGCTGCTATTTACAAATACGTGCGCAATGTTATTTTATTGTTCAAGTTAGTTATTCGATTGCTGTGGTCGGTAAAATACAACATGTCGCCTGACTTGGTGGTTAGATATATTTATTTGTGGTCTGTAAATTTTGAACAAAAATATTTACTTTAATGTAATACATTCATTCAGTAATTGTATCGAAATGTAATGATTTCCAGCCAATTAGAAAATGTTATGTGTTTTTTTCCCTATTCATTCGCTCGTAGCCTCAACGGCTATTCCAGATACGGCCTGACAGATAGTTGAGCTCACGGGCTCAACCTAAGAGAATTTTCTAACACTAGCCCTAGCAAGAGCAGTGCTTCGCAGAATCTACCACCGGATCGGAATCGTGACCCACTGAGAAGATCCGGCGAGAAACTCAGTGGGCTGTGTCTATGGGTTAGTTCGCTCGTCGAACTCTTCGTCGCAATCGACGGGTTTGACGAGGACGGTGACCGGTGCTTGAGGGTCCTAAAAGCACAGAGAGTGAATCCAGGGGATCCGAGAAGACATGTTTAGGGGGACGGCGGCTTTGCATTTAAGAGTGTAGAGTAAGGTATAAGGCTTGTACGGGTGGATACTATCATCATGCCTTACTACAATGCAGTAATGCCTACCTGTTATAGATATGAGACAACCGTATTGCAACATAATTGAGGTCCGACCGCGTCTCATTATTTGAGACGGCATTCATATTGTCGTGCCTGTGGTTTTACGTAATCAATTATTATTACAAACAGCTAAAAAAATACGTAGCGATGAATTTTAATCCACCATCAAGTCTACCAGCGAAATTAAAAACAATAAAATAAAGAGACGTACATATCTAGGTTACATTCACCTCACTTTATTGTAGCCAAGAACGGCTGTTACGTATATTGTAATTGTTTTGTAAATGTCGTAATGACTATAATAGTAAAAGTCATTTTACTTTGACTCTGCTACTAGCAAAACGTTGTGTCATTGAGAACAGGGTCAAATTAATGTTGATATTGCTATCCCTAACATTATACGGCCTTCTTGGATGCTGCATGTGTTTTACGAGAAAACTGCCCATTATCCCTCGATGCCTCACCTAATTGTTTAACTTAACCCTCGATTGCTATCCCGATTTCCCAGAACTAAAGATTTTTAAAGAATTTGGGGTCTGGCCTGTGTACCGGCGATGATGATTTTGTGTTTTATTCCTTCTTAGTTAAATGTCGGCGAGAACTAGTTATGGCTGGGTTGACAAGTGATGCCAACTTTTGTTTATTACTTTGGCAATTTCTATTTGGATTGGGCAAGAAATAGATGAGGAGAATCGAAGACCGGGCTTGCTGGTGTTATTTAGAGGAGACCTATATCCAAAATTTGTCGTCTGTTAGCTGATGATGATAAATCTCAATCTTTTAAATACAATAAATATATTCTTCTTATAGAATAATCTCTTTTTGGCCTTGCTTTGTAAGCAGCGCGCATGGCGATACACCTGATTGCCTAACAAGAGCACCTTCCCTGAGCATATCACTTTATCGACAGCTGAAATTGGTATTTTATTTTTTATTTTTTTTTTGTTGCTGTAGTGGGTTGAGGAGCTCACAGCCCACCTGGTGTTAAGTGGTTACTGGAGCCCATAGACATCTACGACGTAAATGCGCCACCCACCTTGAGATATAAGTTCTAAAGTCTCAAGTATAGTTACAACGGCTGCCCCACCCTTCAAACCGAAACGCATTACTGCTTCACGGCAGAAATAGGCAGGGTGGTGGTACCTACCCGCGCGGACTCACATGAGGTCCTACCACCAGTAAAAAATCTTATAATTATTGCAAATTTTTACTGATGGTAGGACGACTTGTGAGTCCGCATGGGTAGGTACCAGCGTCCTGCCTATTTCTGCCGTGAAGCAGTAATGCGTCTTGGTTTGAAGGGTAGGACAGCCGATGTGCTGTTAAAAGTGAGATCTCAATACTCATGTCTCGAGGTGGGTGGCGGCATTTACGTTGTTAATGTCTATGGGCTCCGGTAACCACTTAACACCAATCAAGCTCATCCAATTATCTAAACTATAAAAAAAAAATTGCGGGTTTTTCCTTAATTGTGGAATATATTGTGTTTGTTTTCAATAATGTGTAGATGCCAGGCTAATTTAAGCAATGACGTAATCATATTACTCTATAGGCGATCTCTATGATGACCTGGAGCTTGACTCAGTCAGTAAGTATTTACAGTCGGCATCATTGCACCACTTCGAGAAGGTGGCATGACATGAGAACCCTCTTGTCGTGGACGCTGGGAATTACATACCCGATCCTGTGGACCGAATTGTAAACAGTCGACGTCGCCCTAAACACGTCATTACGGATCCTCCCGATCCATTGACGGTGCTTTTAGGTAACTTAAGTATCGATCACCGTCCTCGCCGAACTCGTCGCCTGCGATGAAGGGCTCGGCGAATAAATTGACCCGTGTACTGCTTTTGCTGGGCTAGCGTTAGCAACACTCCCGGTTTGAGCCCCGGGAGCTCACCTACACGTCAAGGAGAAGCTGAAACAGCCTCTCAAGGATATCAACATAGGTAGGGAAAAAAAAGAACTCGATAGGTGTACATTGGGCATCTAATCCATTATGCTACTTATTCTTTATAGGTTTGATTGGGAGCTATTTTCATCCAGCAGAATCTCTACCAAATATAGCCTGAGCCTGAGCCTGAGCCTGATATAGCCTGGCCTATAGCCAATAGCCTGAGAATCTTGTTTTACGCTTCAATGTTTCTAGTCAATTGGGCCATTAAATTTTAACATTAATTGAGGTCTCAGAATTTTAAATTTATACTTTAAATCTTTACTTTTGAAGACTTTCAGAAATTTATGTCTTAAATATTTTTTTGCGTATCTTAAGAGAGTCATAAAAATAAATGAGGCGTTTTAAAAACTTTCACTTAAATCGCGAAACTAAAGGTGGCCTATGGAAACGTTCGAATTGACTTTGGACGAATGAAAATAAAATTAAAGCTTATAAATTCATTAAGTATACTTTTCGTTTAAAACATTTTTTAGGTATTGGATAAATAAATAAAAAACAGTTTATTTTCAATATTGTAAAGCTTAATCCAAAATTCTTTGGATTCTATACAAATAAGATATTTTCTAAAAGACAGCGTAGACAATGTGATTACCACTCTTGAGGCATGAGGTCCAAGTCTATTGCATACTGTGGGTGTCCCGCTCTCCTAACCAGTGTGTAACAACTGCTTTGCGTCAGAAAAAGGCAGCATGGTGGTACCTGCGCGTGGGATTGAACCACGACATAGTCGCTTGGTTTGATATGAGTGCCGGGTGCCTTATCTTTTAGGCCACGACAACGTAAATCGCTGGTGATTTTTACATCCAAATAATGAATTAAAATAAACAAATTATTTCATTTTTTTTTTGTATTCGTTTCGTCTTAATATTTCTGATTGACAATAAATAGATCTTGCTTAAAAAAAGGAGTACCTACTTTACAAGGACTGTTTATCCTGGTTAGGATTTTACTTTTAAGAGGAAGATGATAATATAATTATGTATACAGATAGAATTATATAATTTTTAGCCTCAGTTAAAATTGGAAGTTTATCACAAAAATTCGAATATTTCAATTTGAAAGAAATCACCAGCCATAATCTTTGTGAAAAAAACATATTAAATTAATTAAAATATAAGTACGAAAAAAAAAAACAATTAAAAAAAAAAACATTTTATTTCACAATTTTTAATAAAAAATTTCAAATTACTACTTGTTTTAAACTTTCGCTGTTACTTACATAATACAACAGCATTGTTAACGGGTCCTTATCACGACTTTTAATTTTAACGAGATTACTACCGATAACTTATATGTATTTGCCGGGGCAAGCCGTCAATTTGTGTGGCAACTCCCAAAAAGAGACCAGAAAAAAGATAGAATTAAAAAGAAGAAAGTAGATTTGCTGCTATCATCTGACCCGCAGGAATCTATCTAAAGCAGTTCTTGGCACTTGCATCAAACCCACCATATCGATAACTCATCTAAACGTCGTGGTAAGATCCCGTCAAATAATTGTTTTTCAAACCGTTACTAAGTTACATATCACATTTCAAGCTTCGTTTTAATTTTATCTTACGGCTAAGGTCACTTTCGCTTTTCGTATGAATTTAGGCATTTTTTTCTGTGTCAATTGTTTCAACGGAACCCCGTAGAAAGAACCGCGTGAATGACGTCACTAGCCTTGGAATATTAGGTGTCAATTGTTTTGTGTGACGCCTGTCCTATCCACGACACTGTCGTAGTGCCAACCGAATCTTTTCAACCGATCGTTTCATGTCAAAAATCGGTAGGATTGTGATACCTAACTGACATAAAATAAACACTTACATAAGCAATCACATTAATCACCAACTAAAACTTTTCTAAATCAGTAACAAACATTTGACAAGATTGCTTAAATTTTAGTTTGTTTACATTTTGTGTCTAATATATATCTAATATATAAGGTATGAGTTATTTAAAATTAAATTAAAAAAAAACTTCTTTCGTTTAATTGGAAACCGTTTCATTCTTTTACCGGAAAGAAACATTAACACAAATTTTCTTATATGATATAATCTGTATATTAGAACATCGTAATTAAAATTGAATTGATTTTTCTTACTAACTAGAAATCAAGTTAGGAAAACAAATTGTAGTAAAACACATAAATGTACTCCAAAAAATTGTATTAGCTAAACTTATATTTATCTATCTTGTTCTATGTAACTAATGTTTTGATATTAGTAACTAATATAACTTGTACTTTAATTAAGTGTATAAAATAATTACGTGTACTTTTATGTGAATTGTAACAATCCGACGGGGAATAATTTGTAACTTTTTTTAAATATCGCATATGTTATAGATCCAAGCCACTGCACGCCCTTTTTTATACATATTTATGCATGAAAAATTATATTATAATTCAACTCGATATAAACATCACAAAGTAAGTATTTAAGTTGTTAAGGTTTTTTATTGTCAAAAGACTAAACAAAACAAGTGGTAAAAAAGAAATTGGTTTAATATTTGAAAAGAAAACCTGCGTTTTTAGTTTTCTTTCAATGTCATGCTAATTGATGTTAAAGAAACAAACCATACATTGCACAAACAAACACACAGAAGCACATCGTAAGCCTACTGTGAGTTCGCCTTTCTCCGACAAGAATAAGCCATAAACTATGAAAGGTAAGGTAATTTAATCTATAAAGAAAACTGACAAATAAATATGGCCTTGCTTCTCAAAGCATACATATATACATATACATAATTATATCGTAATAGTTTTGTTTCTAAAATACCGCTATTTTTGCTGTTTTAACTCATATCAAACTATGAACATTTAAAAATAATAAAGTAGCGGCATCTATCGACGAATAGTCGTAACGAGAAAAAATCTGATGCACAAAAAATATATTTCTAGAAATTTCATACGGGTTTCCGATTACTGAACAACAGCCTGTTATTGTTATCGAATGCACCTCAACACAGACCACGTTCTAAGGATTTTAAATCAATACGTACAAGGATAAATAATTGCTGAAATACATAAACATGATGCCGTGATTCAACAAGAAAACCCATTTGATAAATTCACAGTAAATTCCTATTTAGAAAATTGAAAACTCCATTCTTATATTTTGTGAGCTATTTCCATTGTCCTAATTTTCTTTTCGTTGTTCATGTTCAACCTATTTACAATAAATAAACATATATTTATGTATTTATCCGAATCAACATAATTGTGAATAGCTTCTAAATGAATTATATAACCACAATCACGTTAGAGTTTTGTATCATAAATAATCATATCATAAAATAAATAAAAAATATTTTTAAACCATTAGTAGAAAAAAAAACTCATGTAATTGTCATCAAAATCATTAAAATAAAAATAATTTGTACTAACATTTTCTACCACTAAGTTCTTATACTTTAAGCATTGCATCCTTATAGGAGAGTGCTGCTTAAATATTCATTCAATCAACAAGTTTGCTTAAAAATACTTAAAGCTAACACTGGTCAGTATCGTTCAATTTAACCTATTTATTACGTCATTATTTAAAAGCACAATGTTGCTTTGACAGATTATTTAAGGTTCGTATGATGTATTGGCAGTGGTTGGAAGGTCTCAAGCATCAAGAGTATTTTTCCTTCCAAAGCGAAAAACATATTTTTCTTGTAATCAACGCTATGTTAGTTTCGGCTATTTTGAATTAAGATCTAGTCGTATTAAGATGCTTTTCCAATACCGGATCTGCTGAAATTTTGTTTACCATGTCTTGAATGGCTATGAAAGTACCAGCGAAGAAGGCTAATAAAGAGATCATTGCTATAAATATGTTTTTAAACAGTTTCCAGTAGAAGAATCCGAGCCCTCTGTCCCAGTTGTGTACGGTGTCAACGATGGCTGGAGTAAGCAGGCCAAGAGTTGACAGGAAGATGGCGCCGCACAGGTTGATGACCAGTTCTAAATTTGGAATGGCAGCGGCGAGTATCACTGCAAATATTTCGTAAATAGTAAGTTATGGTTGTTCAACAATTGGTCCACTAAACGTATTTGTCTATTCAGTGATGGGATGTATGGGTGCTTGTGCTAAGTTCTTACCAGTTGAACTATTTCAGACGTGAAGTAATTAAGCATTTCAATTTGATAAATGGAACAACCATTTCATCATTCCTTAAATCGTTTTAACACGTGATGAAATAGCTGACCCGTCCATCCACTATGCCTAGGTGGCAGTGCAGCCAGGAGTGAGAGGTTAAGTAAAAGTAGTTCAATTTATGTTGGCGACTTTGCGAAAACGCAAAAAATAATCGTTCGCGAAGACACTTGAAACTAATACTAAACATACTGGTGGTAGTACCTCTTGTGAGTCCGCAGAGGTAGGTACCACCACCTCGCCATTTACTGGTGGTAGCACTTCTTGTGTGTCCACACGGGTAGGTACCATCACCCCGCCTATTATTCTGCCGTGAAGCAGTAATGCGTTTCGGCTTGAAGGGTAATGTAGCCGTTGTAACTATACTGATACCCTAGAACTTATATCTCAAGGTGGGTAGCGCATTTCAATGTCTGTGGGCTCCAGTAACCACTTAACACCAGGTGGGCTGTGAGCTCGTCCACCCATCTAAGCAATAAAAAAAACTATTCACATTTTAATAATTACGAAAAAAAGCTTACCAGAACCTACAACTGCCGCAGTTCGAATAGCAATTTGAGTGATGTTATGATACCTCACGGTTATCTTGTCTTTCAATTGTCTCCAGATCATTTCCATTGGCACGTAAAGCTGCAAGCTATACGTGAATAGTATAGCTAGAGCCATTAGGATTTTTGCGGCCTGCGCTAGACTGAAATTTTTATGAGATTTTTTAATTAATTATCATTGTAGTTGTGTTGTTAGAAAGCCTAAGATTTTCAAGGATAGCTCATCATTTGAATGAATACAATTAGTGGGCTGTGAAATCATCTACCTATAACTGCATATTATTAAGAAATATTTTTAGAATCAGAAAAAATGTATTTTAAATAATGTACGAATAAAGAGATATTATGTCTAATAACGTGCTTAATTCAAACATGAGCAAACCTTTAAGCACTTATAGCGAAATATAGAGTTTAAAAAATTATATAAATTTACAAATAAATAAATTATTATATCCCAAATTCAGTGGCAACAAAATACATTAAAAAAATTAGGGACTTAGAATAAATTGAGTTTCATAAGAAGTAAGAGTTATAAGCAAGAACGGGATTGAAACAGCTGATATATAAATTACATATAGTTATATTCTAGAGGAGTTATATTAGGGAAGATACAATAGGAGTTGGAGTATAGTTATATATAGCAGATAGACATGTTCACAGCATTAATTCAAATATAATTCTAGAACAAAGTGGTCATTTTATATCTTACTAAAACAGCAACCGACCGAAATAGTGTAAAGCAGAGTTTTTTGTATTTCATATGATTGATCATTTAGTGATTTAAGAAGAAGGAGAAGAAGAAAACAAAAATGTTACAAGTCGTCTCAACTTACACGTCATCTTTGGGCAGATTTAAGGTTACACTACCATGAACAGTATCCCCAAATGTCATGTACCCAAAGAGTCCGACTAATCCGTATAGAGTTACTACAACAGTCATCGCCACATTCAAAACTCCTGGACATCCGAGGAAATGCTGCGGTTTTGCCATTTCATTTTCAATTGGCATCACGACGCCGATACCTTCCATAGCAAACACCACTGTACTGTAATGAAAACAAATGGAATTGAAAAAATGTACATGATAAAAAAACGTGATAAAATTTTATTGTTCCTCTCTTTTACTGTTTCGAAGTTGAATTCTGGATCAAATCGCCGATTTAACAACACAATTGAGGCTTCATCTCAAGATGAATGGTATTCATATTTGTCTTCGTTTGGGTCCATAAGACATATGCCAATGCATAACGCATTATCCATAATGACGTTAAATTACCAAAAGGTTTATGTAATTTTAGACATTATAATTTGTACAAATTTTTAAATAGAAATAGGCAGGTATCCAATTTGATTACCCGTAATTTTTTTAGTTGCACATTTCTGTGACTTGCATAGAGATAGAAAATACTAAGTAATAATGGTTCTGTATTAAAATCACTTTTAAATATTAATTATGTCTACTACTCATGAAACCAATAGAAAATATTTTTAGTTTTAGATTATTTTAATGTCGTTTATTCCTATATGTCGATTCCACCGTAGTGAACTGATTTTTGCATAATAATAAATATTAAAAATATTTTGCCTGTTGGTCCGTTGTGAAGTCAAAAGCTCATGGCTAAGAGTTTGAAAAGTAAAGAAGTTTATAAGTAAGTGAGAAATGTATGTAATTGTTACCTTTGTTGTCATTGTTAACTAAAAAACAAACATTTGTTTCAGACTTTGTATTCGGAATGCATCATGACCCGACCTTGGTATAATGTCACGTGAATTGCAATAGAATTAGAACCTTGCTCTTTGGTTCACATTCGTATGCTAATTCATGCATAAAACCTGCTCGCGGTATACATTATTGTCGATCCTTTGAAGGTCGAAACATTTGTTTTATTGTGGTATAAAATACGTAACAGACTAAAGTAATGTTTGTTTTATTCAGGTATCATAATTTTAGGTCAGGTCAGGTCAGGTTTCAGGTAGGTTAAAATCAGGTATCGTATTTTAAACACTTTTGTATTGTTTTCCGAAATACATTAGAAAAAGAATACAATCAAAAAATTCCCTACCATTTTAGAAATGACTACAACTAATTTCACTTATATTATAGAATCTATACTAATATTATAAAGCTGAAGAGTTTGTTTGTTTGAACGCACTAAACTCAGGAACTACTAGTCCGATTTGAAAAATTCTTTCAGTGTTAGATAGCCCATTTATCGAGAAAGGCTATAGGCTATATAATATCACGCTAACACAAGCGGAGCACCAATAAAGAATGTTTCAAAATCGGGGTATTTTTCCCTTTTGGGAGCTTCCGCTGCGTGCGCTGCAGAAACGGTTAAAGTTTCGCTAAGATAATGTATGACAGAATTGCTCCCCTTTAAAAGATATAAAAAAATCTGTGACAGCATATATCTATATGTCAAGGTTGGCTCACTGTAGCGTTTTTTATACTAACCAAATATGTTCTAAAATAAAGCATTATTTGTGAACTATTCCACGCGGACGAAGTCGCGGGCAAAAGCTAGTGTAACATAAAAATATATCAAAGCAACTCACCTGATGAACAAAGGCCACTTTGAAACACTCGCAACCATTGTCGCTTCACTCTTAACCGGGAGGTCTTTGAAGATGTAATACAAGGTAATGCCGAAGCATACCACTAAGAAAACATTAGCAATAGCCGAGAATGGTACCAGCCATTTGAGGTTGCGAATTTGGCTCATCAAAACTAGTGGGACGAGGGTTAAAGCACAATATGCTTGCACTGAAAGATTGTCATTAGGAGCGTATACATCTAAGACCTGGAAATAATACATGTAATGAGAGACACTGCCCTTTTATTTTTCAGTTAATGATTGCTTTGTTGGTCCAAGGTTTTTTGCTGCATATATGGGTAAATTAGCGCAAGGCTCCCCTTGTATTTTGGGGTCTATGGACATCATAGTGTAAATGCCGCCATTCACCTAGGGACAAAAGGTCAAAGTATGGAATGTATTATATAATTAATTATCCCAACCTTCAAACATTCGAGTACGGGCGTACTAACTATATGGTTTAACCCCAATTATTGATCCTCATTAGTGTATCCCTAGATACAGGCTTGATTTCGACTTGGAGTCAATATCCGTGTTAAGGATGTTTGCCATTAAAGAACTATTAATATTTCATTTAGAACCCGTTAAAACTTTTAATTGGTAAAGATATTTAAACGGTTTAATCTCCTTGTCATTATTTCCGATGTTTTGAAAATTTTACAATTTTCGTGCTTACAGATGCTTACAGACGAAGGTGATCATCGATCATTATTTTTATAAAAAAATATTTATGAACACAGATTTTAAGAACATTCTTTGCACATAGAAATAACTATCACTATTTTGGGGTCTGGCCGATTTTTTTACTTGGGTTTCATCTTCACGATAAATGAGTTCTAATTTTTTTTATTGCTGAGATAAGCGTGCGAGCTCGACAGCCCACCTGGTGTTCACTGGCTACCGGTAACTCATGTCAGAAGGTAAGCTGGCGGCATTTACGTTGTTGATGACTATGGACTCCTGCAACCACTTAACACGTTCGCGTGAGCAACCTCATTTCTGAATATTGCTACTGTGGCGAACCTTTTTCCCATAAAAAATTTAGCAACGTCTAAAAACGTTCCGCCGTAATACGTACATCTTAATATGATTATTTTTTTTAGGGAACGCGGTAGTGTAGGCTATGAGAATCGAATGTGTTGCGGTGCTAAGTAGATGCGCCATAGGAATTTGCCCATAAAATAGATGTCCAAAGACGTTCGGACAAAATAAATATTATAATCTAGAGGCCGTCATATGACGTTGCGCCGTTTTATAAGACGTTGCACACGCGAACGTGTTAAGATTGATGAGGGCGCGAAATTTATCTATGAACTTAAAAATGTATTTATTACCTGTTTGAAATTCTCAGCGATGAATACAACATAAACGCAGAGAGCTGCTAAGTACGTGCATGTCAAAGCGTAGTCCACAAATATTCTGAAATAGAGATACTTTGCTTACTTATGTACTGCTGCTTATATACTTTGATACTTATTTTCAATATCACAGGAATGTAATTTTCTATTTAAGGTTTGGTGACATTCCAATTGAAATTGATATTGAATATTTCATTGTTTCATGTTACTTTATTTTATTAATTGATATGTTACAATGCTTATCGTGTTTGTTTTTGTATTACATTTTATTTATTTATTGTATGACAAGGGTTATTATTATTAGAGGACTCTATAGGTCACTAACAGATGACGCTGTAAGTTAACTTATCGACATGATGGTTTGATGGTATCTAATAGATGACACTATATTTATTCAAAGTCAAACAAATTAATATTTGCTACAATTTATTTACAATATTTTTAAATGTAGATCGATTGTTGTCTTCTATGGGGTCCTGAAATGTATATCTCTGATTGTAATAAAACAGGAGTACAATTGTGGTTGGCGCTCTAGGGAAGGTTTCTTTCAGAGTATAATATCATCAAGGTAGATAATGCGTAAATAGTTTCAAGAAATCGATCTTCTTCAAACAATATCACTTCTTATGAAGTCGTCGTGGTCTAAAATTTAAAGATAAGACGTTCGGTGCATTCGTGTATAGTGATGCACCGGTGTTCGAATCTCAGACGGGTACCAATTTTTCACCCACCAGGTACCACCACCCTCCCTATTTCTGCCGTGAAGCAGAAATGCGTTTCGGTTTGAAGGGTGAGGCAGCCGTTGTAGCTATAGTGAGACCTTAGAACTTATATCTCAGGGTGGGTGGCGCATTTACGTAATGTCTGTCTTTAGATGTCTATGGGCTCTAGTAACCACTTAACACGAGGTGGGCTGTGAACTTGTCCACCCATCTAAGCAATAAAAAAAATATTCATACCTCACGAAGTTAGACCAGGGTCTTAATTTTTTGGGTCCAAATTCAAAAGCAGCACCGCAAGTTTCGGCAAAACCCATCGAGGGTTTCTTTGCTTCCACGCAGACTTCTTGTGACGTTTTGACCTAATTGAAATTCGTATAAATTTTAACACCAGAGTAGTATTAGTACAATACAATTATTACAAGCTACGCAGTATTATAAGATACATAATAAGTAGCTCATATTTGTTTTAGTGATTTTTAAGAAGACTGGATTAAGCTACCATTAAGAAGAATATAATGCCAAGATCAGGTTTCCCAAGTGGTTTGTTAATAATTTTAAATCGTCGTTACGCTTAGGTAGTTTATATATTAATTAATTTGTTCTTACTTCATTGATGGAATTAATATTGTGTTCTTTTTTCATAATAAATTTAAATTGAATAATTAATTGATGGAATATATACATATATTTATATAGTTTAGACGCTGTGTGCTTACTTTTCATAAAATTACAAATAATATTTTGCTTTAATGCTAGAGGTTGTCCTTGTTTATGTAATAATAACTAGGAGACCTATTTCCGTTTTCAGAATTGAACTATGTAATAGCTTAAGTACTTGACGTAAATCTACCTTTGACTTTAGTTAATTCTTTTTTTTTTTTATTGCCTTTGTAGGCAGACGAACATACGGCCCACCTGATGGTGAGTGGTTACCGTCGCCCATGGACTTCAGCAATGCCAAGGGCAGAGCCAAGCCGCTGCCTACCGCATCATATTGCAAGCTTTGTTACAAGTAGGTAGCAAGAATAAAAAGTATCTGTGTTACCGATAGCTACGTAAGATTACGTAAGCCCTGAGTTCCGTTTACTTATCTATTATTTAAAAAAAATGAATTATATGTATTTCCACAGAAAAAAGAGACTTGGCCTACAATATGTTTTTTGATAGTGTAATTATCTATTCTAAGGAAAAAAAATAAGTTAACTTTGAGGACTTCTTTACTAATATTATACTTTTTAAGCAACCGTTGTCATTCTAATTGTTAGAACTAATACAGGTTAGATTTATGAACATACTTAGCCGTATTTAATTTTATAAACTGAAAAGATGAGATTGGCCCTTGCAACTTCTGGCATAGCTGACCTCTAGCAAGATGTATCATCCCCAAAGACAATTGGGTATTTGAAAAAAAAAATTTATGTGGTAAATGGAAATATAGTTTTATAAAAAAACATTTTTTTTTTCACAATAAATCAAAAGTAATTTCAAAATAAACATTAATTTTTGAAACCAGTGCCGAAGACACACCGACAGCTTCCGATCAAACCCGAGCGCGTGTGACGTCATAATGTTAGGTTTTCCCTCATTGCAGTTCATATAGAAATAATAAGTACAGTGTTTTGATCTATTTAATTTTGTTGTCATTGTTAATCTTATACCTTTAAACGAGCAATTCTTGTGTATAACTAGTCAGGTCATAAGTATTGTCACACAGTAAAAAATTTTCTTTTAGAATGCTGGCCATAAAAAAGTTTATTGAATTCGAATTTCGAATTGTTCATGAAAATAAAAATGTATACTTTTAGAATTTTACTCATTTTTAAATATGGAGTGGACGCTTAAAGAAGACCGTGTTGCAGTTATTGCGTTGCATCATTACTGAAAAATTTGAATATAACCAAAAGATTCGTTTATCGTACCATCAAACGATACAATGAAGACTCTAGTGTACATGACAGGTCAAGAAGTGGTCGCCCTCGGTCTGTTAGGATTCCAGCAGTGATAAAAGCTGTGAAGGCGCGAATTCAAAGAAATCCCAAACGTAAGCAGAAACTGTTGGCCCTTCAGATGGGGTTAAGCAGAACCACGGTGAAAAGGGTGTTAAATGAAGTCATAGGGCTTCGGGCATATCGAAGAAAAACAGGACATCGTTTGAATGCTCGTCTAATGGACCTGAGACTGAAGAGATGCCGCGCTTTGTTGAAGCGGTACGCGGGAAAAAAATATCGGGAAATTCTTTTTTCGGATGAAAAAATTTTTACCGTAGAAGAGAGCTACAACAAACAAAATGATAAGGTGTACACACACAGTAGNGAGCTACAACAAACAAAATGATAAGGTGTACACACACAGTAGTGAAGAAGCGAGCAACCGTATTCCGCGTGTCCAACGAGGTCATTTTCCATCCTCGCTCATGGTATGGTTGGGAGTTTCTTATTGGGGCTTAACAGAGGTACATTTTTGTGAGAAAGGTGTAAAAACGAATGCAGTTGTGTATCAAAATATAGTCCTGACGAACCTTGTGGAACCTGTTTCTCATACCATTGAATAAACTTGTTTCAATTATTTTACATTAAATATGTGACAGAATTTATGACCTGACAGGTTATATAATGTGAATCTTGGAATCGGCTCCAACGATTTTCATAAAACTTAGTATACTGGTGATTTCGGGGGAGATAAATCGATCTAGCTACGATTTATTTTCAGAAAATGTTGTTTTATTCGTGTTTTCGTTACAATAATCAACTCTTCCCGACATCTATTGGCGAATAATAATACTATTTTTCTTAATTGAGGGCAGCTAACCGCTTTAAAGACTCAACAAGATGGCGTTATCAAAAAAAAAAAAAACAGAGCGATATAGAAATAATAAGTACAGTGTTTTGATCTATTTAATTTTGTGGTCATTGTTCAATAATCAAATATTTATATTGAAGATGTCGAACCTCAAAAGTTATCGGTCTTGTTTTGTACCATTATGCATGAAAACAACTCCTGAAAAAGGGTTTTTAAGTGTTTCCCAAGATGACAAATGTCGAATTAAATGGCTTCAAGCTGTGCATTGTGATAATCTCAAAACTTCAGACTTAGCCTTAATAAATCCTTTATCACACATAGCTAATCGTAACTAATTTATAACTCGTTTTTTGGCAATAAATTTTCAATATTATTGCCTAGTCACGTGTATTTGTCGTAAACGCTGTACTGTTATTAAATAGCTATAACATCATGACGTCACAAGTATGGTGACCAATCATGGCGCGTTTATAAGTCACGTGTTTTTTTTATTAATTCTATCAATTTTTAATTCTGTATACTAAATGAAATAAAAAAAATTTTTAAGTTTTTTGCGTTAAATATCCATATTAATAATAAAGTTTTAAAATAAAATTAAAAAATCGATAATTTTTTTTCATTCAAAATCCCAATTAAGCAAGTGTTGGAATGGATACTTAGTCTTCTGTATAACGAATTAGTTCAAATTTGACGATGACTAAATTGAAATATCAAATAACTTTTGAACAATAAAATTATCCACAAAATGTTTAATTTAATTGTCACAAGAGATAAAGATCTAAGTGAAGTATTGTACTTAACAAAGACCCAAAGAACAGGTTTAGCTGAGCAATAATAATATCTTGTGAAACGTTCGTACTGTCGAAAAGTGCTGTAAAAAAGGTCACTTGGCGAGCTAAAGTTGAATGACATGTTTGAAGGCTGCATCGCAAAATGGTTCTTAAGGTTTTTGTCATAAAGCTACGAATCTCATTTACACGATTTTCACCCTTGTTGGTCTTGATCAAATCTTAAAAACAAACTGTGAACGCTGATTTATGAGAGGTACTTCAATACTTCAAAGATTCAAGTGACCACAAACAATTTTATCTATACTAATATTATAAAGAGGAAAGATTTGTTTGTTTGTTTGTTTCGAATAGGCTCCGAAACTACTGGACCGATTTGAAAAATTATTTTTCCAATAGAAGCCGACATTGTCCTTGATGAACATAGGCTACCTTTTTAAAAAAAAAATTTATTGTATTTTTTTGGTTTCATGTGTGTTTTAATGTTTCCGAAGCGAAGCGAGGGCGGGTCGCTAGTTATTTAGATAAAATTCTTTGTTTTTTCTTTGGTTTGTTTTGACACGGATTGAATCCTGTCGCCTTAAATACGTCAATGTGATTAGAATAATATTCGCTTTTTTATTTTTATTGCTTAAATAGACCGTGGGTGGGGCCGTGGGTTTAGAGGAACCCACGGCCCACCTGATGTTAAGGGCTACCGGAGCCCATAAACATCTACAACGTAAATGCTGCCACCTACCTCGAGACATGAGTTCTAAGGTCTCACTTTTAACTACGGCTGCCCCACCCTTCAAACCAAAACGCATTACTGCTTCACGGCAGAAATAGACAGGATGGTGGTATCTACCCGTGCGGACTCGCAAGACGTCCTACCACCAGTAATTACGCAAATTATAATTTTGCGAGTTTGATTTTTATTACACGATGGAAGCCAATCGTGAACATTTGTTCAGTACCTATTTCAATGGAAAAATTGGTTTTGAACGAAAGCGGGATTCGAACACCGGTGCATGCCGGTACGAATGCACGTCTTATCCTTTACGCCACGACGACTTTCACAAATTGGAATATATTTGATTTGCAGCACAACAATTAGGCTGGTAACAGTTATTTGTACATACATGCTTTTAGTATTTACCTGTGTGGGTAACTAATTACTCACTTTGTACTAAGTGGGTAGAGTGCGTAAAAATTATAAATTAGCGGTCTAAAATAGTAAATACTAACTCATGTAACTCCCGTAAAAGGCGACTAAGGGATTTACCTCTAAGATTTCGTAGTAGCGTTCTTTGAGTATAATATCAAGGCGAATCACGTTCTGTAATGTAGTTTAGACTTCGATCTTATCTCACAAAGTGGATGGTAGCATTCATGCTGTGATATCTATAGGTTCTGGTAACTGCCTTACATGAGCTGTGAACTCGTTCAATAAATTACGAGATAATAAAACAGGGTTGTCACCACCCGGCCTGTGACATGAATTCGAAATCTCAAGTGTGTGTTCGACCCTTAAAATTATGACCGGCTATTACTAAGCCAGCTGAAAATAAATTGTAATGATTTCTTATTGTTACGCCAGTAAGAGTAACGCCATCTGTCGCCGAATAGTCGAACGAATATCGAAAGACCTAGTAGCGTCTAGAACGCTCGAGAAGCACAACGCCATCTATTGTTAGATAGCGGAAACACAATACTCGAAATGTATGGAATGTTCTCGATAATTCTATGGATGTGGTATCGGCTATAAAAGCGTTGCAGAGATGGCACGAGTCAGTTAGTAATCGGAACTACTCGAAGCGAAACAGCGAACGGATCACCTGAAGCGAAGCGGAAGAAGCGAATTGAGAATTTTAAAGTGCTTGTGAAGTGTTCTAAGTGTTGAATACAGTTTTTAACTTGTACTTCGGTAGATTTTTTTATTTATCCCGAACCCCAGCGCGTAACATTATTATATGAGCTCATTTAGGCAGCAACGAGTATTCCACCGTAAATATAGAACCGATATCTCAGACGAATTGGATGGGTGGAATTCTTCGTCACCAATCTTCATTTGCCTATAGTTGGTTAAATTATAGCTAATTCTCGAACACGAGTCTGCGTTGACGAGTGATGTGGTTACACGGTTATGTACTCACAATCGTTATTCACGGTGTTTTCCGAGCGCTATGACATGTCCTTCTTTAAACGAGGCTTGCGGAGAGTACTTAATGGTAGGCAGCCCCTGGCATTGCTGACGTCCATGAGTGACGGTGACCACATACCATCAGGTGGGCCGTATGCTCGTCTGCCTACAAAAGTAGTAAAAAAAATGTACTCACCAACACATAAACACAGTGTGTACAAATGAATCCTATGAATATGTTCCCAATAACGCCCATTACTAAACCGGCATTTTTGAAGGCTGCCGGCATCGCCAGGACGCCGGAACCAAGGGACGACTTGAGCAGATGAGCAAGTGAGCCCATAGTCCTGAAAAAGTATTTTGATAATATTATCAAAGCCACAGCTTGTTCAATTATTATTGAACTATTAAAATGTTAAATCTGTGCACGCTCATCTGATGAGCTTGCTTTAAGCACACCTGTCTCCTGAAGCATCAACAAAGATATATTGTTCTACGTGACAGAAATAAGAAGAATGTGCAAAAAACCTACAGTGGTACGTATCCTTGCTGATTCCTAGCTTAATTTTCTACGAGACTGGGCAAATAGTTCCCAGCACTTCGACCCTCGAGATATAATATGTCATTCCCCTGTCCTCTACTTTTTATCTCCAATCGTTTGCACAAGTTTTGTAACCATGTTTGAAAGTAAAAGCCTCTAGACGTTTTAGTATACATGTCCTTTGCCCAATAAGTCTATTCTTGCCCTTGCTAGGCTATTCCACTCGCAAAATATGTGATGCATCGTTTTTACTTCGTCCAAACCGAATCCGTAAGCCGCATCGTCAGTCAGCTTCATTTAGTATATTATGTAAAAATGTAATTTTTAAGTATGTAAATGTTAGTTTCGGCAGTGTCGATATTCCCTGTGAGGATCCCGGGCGACCTTACTCCTACAAGCCTTTTGACTTGGTACGGAATCGGTGTGTTTGTTTAAAATAGAAACTTCTGGCCTTATATTAGACCCTATTTGCAGCTTTATTTCAGGTACTGAGGGTAGGAATTCGGGAGAGAGTTCGGTGAATACAAAATGGTACCATTTACGGCTGCTGGAGAATGATGCTGAACCAATAACAGTAGTTTTAAGTTAAAATAGCCGAGTTATTTATTTTATTATCCTGTGTGGTTTCTTAGTCTACAATACTTGTATTGATTGCGAGTTTTAGGTAATTATGTAAAATTATTATTAGTGTTTTCTAAAGAAGTCAAGTTACATACGATGTCGGATGCTCAACATTTCGGTGCTCGAAGGGATCATAAGCTTTTTCATTTATGACCTCCTTTGAACCGAGGGTCAGAGTAGACTGGAAGCCTGAATTCGACGTCAAATTTGCTCTGAAATAAATAAAAAATAGATAAAAAAGTTAGTACGAGTTTTTGAACATACTATTTCAATATCGATGAGAACTGCTTTTTACGGCTTTGCTTGGTACATTGTAAAGCTATCTGATGGATAATCTACAGTTCATAAGATTCAGGATAAAATTTGCTTGGAGCAAGCTGAGGAGTATTTATTTGCTCCACTTCAGAACAGGTGTTATTTTAAATATTTATTGCAGACTCTTTGTAAATTATTGAAAAAGCGAGAGATTTTATTGTGTAAATATTGAAACTTAACTATCAGAATCTGTCTTTTTTATTATCCTTTTTTTGTATTGCTTCGATTGCTGAATAAGCAAACGGCCACCCGGTGTGAAGTGATTACTGGAGCCCTGGATATGATCTAAGGTCTAATTTTTTTACAGTAAGACGGCAGCCCACTCTTCAAATCGAAAGGGATAAGTGCTTCACAGCAGACATAGGTACGGCAGGTAGAAATGATCACCCGATGATAAATTGTTACCGTTGTTCATGGACGCGAGCTATTCCAAAGGCACAGCTAAGCCGCTGTCTATCGCTGACTACTTTTAGATTGAGTGCTCTCTGGCTTGAAGACTTATGTTTTAAGGTTCAATGCCATTTGGGTTTGTTGGGTAGTCAACGTGTAAAAGGCTTTTCAAACAATAATAATGATTGTGTTTTACATTAAACACGAAGATAAATTCACAGGTCACCACATAATATGGTACGTTTATTGCCTCATATTGGTTGCGGTCTCATTGGTAATGCGGTTTTTATGAATTTCATTTATTGATTGGAACAGTTCGAATTTAATTGGCTATCTCATTTTTACTAATAAAACACTAAGGCTTTATTCTAACTACTCAATTTTGAAATCTATTAGAGTCTTATACTCAAGGAATAGTAGTCAATAATAGTTTTGGACATCTAAAGATTGATTTCAATGATATGACATTTCTGACAATAAGAAACAAAATAGAATTGCGAAACAATCTTACGTTGAATTGAAGTTGTTGAGTACAATGCCATCTTTTTTTTCGACTCCTCCCATTTTGATATTTGTTACCTGTAACAAAAGATCCAGAACTGAAAAATGTTTTCACAATATTATTTTATATATTTTTTCTCGTTTTGTCAAATAATAGACAAGGATTGCTGATGGCCTTATCTCCTCCCCAAGGGAGTGAAAAGACGGTGCGTTATTCTTTTTTCTCCGCTCTCAATGTCGATTTTATTGATGATTTTTCAAAGTACAGGTTTGGAGGGTCGTTGATATTTTTTATTACATGATTTTTAACTATTTCGTGCTGCGTACATTCTCCACCAAATATTGCATAGAACATTTTCTATTCGGTTTTTGGTTAGGTATCTTTGCATGACTGTCGTGAATATATTCCTTGAACACGGAAAGTGTAGTTGTGTTAAGTGTTTCAAAACGATGATTTTTTTTAAATAATAGTTGGACAATCATTTAACATTTTACAACTGACAAAATTTGCTAATTTGTGTAATTCGTGCCCTATACTGCTAATTTCTCCCGTGAAGAAATCATGTGTTCCGGTTTTAAGGTTGGGGCAACGATCATAATTATGATACCCTGGTAATCTCGGCCTTATGTTTCAATGTACCTACCTAAGTAGCAGCAAAAATGTAATATCTGTACACTGATAATTATTTAAACAAATTAGTAGTAAGGTCGACCAAAATACAGTCGTGGAAAATCCAAATACAGTCTCGCTTGTCACTGCAAGGTACCTGTTGGAGGATAAGACTGGTTTTTTGTCATTAAGCTTGTAGCAGTATATAGTTTTTTTTAATCGACGATCCATTCTTACCCTTTGGGTATCGGACAATTTAAAAATGCCCAATGCTAATTAGAATTTTGCCAATGGTTAATTAATTTTTGGGTTCTACATGCCTTTCAAGGGTACATAATAGTATGGCAATAACTAGTTTGGCAATTGTAATGGCAAAATAAAAGAATATAGGTACATAAGCTATTTAATTGGCTGGTAGTTAATTAAAAATGCCAATGAAAAGGAACTTTATAAATTCCAGTGACTTAGAGGAATTATCAACATAATTCCGATCCAAATTTTTTTCTAATTTAAAATAGAATACAATAGAAAAAATAGATACAAAAGCATTATTTCCATAAGACCATCGCGAGAATTGCATCTATATAATAATTGAAAGTAATTTATGTAGAAAAATTATTAATAATTATCGTCGTAAAAAGCGTCGTGGCCTAAAGCATAAGACATCCGGTGTATTCGTATGTAGTGATGCATCGGTGTTCGAATCCCGCAGGCAGGTACCAATATTTCCTTCCATTGACATACGTACTTAACAAATGTTCACGATTGACTTCCACGGTGAAGGAATAACATCGTGTAATCAAAATCAAACCAGCAAATTATAATTACTAGTGGTAGGACGTCTTGTGAGTTTGCATGGGTAGGTACCACCACCCTGCCTATTTCTGCCGTGAAGCAGTTATGCGTTTCAGTTTGAAGGGCGGGACAGCCGCGGTACTGTTATAAGTGTGAGACCTTAGAACTCATGTCTCTAGGTGGGTGGTGGCATTTTTGTTGTAGATGTCTATGGGCCACGGTAACCACTTCACACCAGGTGGGCCAAGAGCACGTCTACCCATCGAAACAAAAAAAAAAAAACCGTAACTATATAAGTATATCATGCAATTAATATAGTACAAATTAATTTTATCTTAGAAATCGTAAAACAATAATTTTCTAAATTGTTTCAACTAATTTTCTTTGTAAAATCGATACTAAAAATCGATCTAAAATCGATGTTTTTCATGCTCGATTTTTGTAAAAAGAATCCGCCACAAACGAGCATTACCTTAGCCTAATAGGGACTAGTGACGTCAATGTCAATCTAATGACGTCAACAGTTTTCCATGCAGGAATACAAATGACGATTAATTTATTTTAAATAATTATAACCGAGATTTATTGCGGTTTTTCCACAGTTGAAGCTCACTGGATAAATTAATTTCCCACGATCATATCAGAGAACATGTCCAATGTGACCTGCGCTATAAATTTTATAATTTAGTACCTTGATGTTACATCATAAGACAGAACAGGATTTAAGACGTATACCATAAAAACAGATACAATAAAATCATTCGTAGAATTCTATGAGGATTTTGCAAAATCAAACATGTAAGAAACTTACTGTTATCGACAGATAGGGAAATTTATTATCCATCCGTTATATTAATAACGTCTAACACTAGCTAACATGAATTGTTAATCATCTTTAACCCACAGACACAGCCCACTGAGTTTCTCGCCGGATCTTCTCAGTGGGTCGCGATTCCGATCCGGTGGTAGATTCTGCGCAGCACGGTATTTGCTAGGGTTTGTGTTAGAAACATCGTCAGGCTTGAGCCCCGTAAGCTCACCTTCTAGTTAAGGTTACGCTGATATGGTCTCTAGATCATCAGCTTAGAGAGGAAAAAAAAAGTTAATCGTCACTTGTGATCACATTAATTCAATCAATGAGCCCTGTGTCCTGAACTTTTAGGACTGTTGATTTATTTTTTGTTTATGTTATAGAATGTCTCTAAGTTCAGTTAGCCTATTGGCATATACCTCCTCTAACATTTTCCATTGCTTTCTATCTTTAGCAACCCTCGTCCAGTTAAAACCGGCTGTCAACTTTATCTCATCTTCCCGTCTCACCATCAAGAGATAAGATGAGATGACAGCTAATTATATAAGTTGTAGTAGAGAGCTTTGCTTTTTATAATTCATAAAAAGCAAAGTAATTAGTGCAGGACGTTAAGTAGTAATTAATAACACACTAAAGTCTACTTTACATAATATTTAGTGATCTTGTCTACTGTGCATTTAGAAACGATTGCCTACCGAAATATTATTATTATCTTATCTTATACCTTTAAACGAGCAATTCTTGTATATCCAAGCAAACGGCTCCAACGATTTTCATAAAATTTAGTATACAGGGGATTTCGGGGGCGATAAATCGATCTAGCTACGATTTATTTTCAGAAAATGTTGTTTTATTCGTGTTTTCAATAATAAACCCTTCCCGACTTCTATTGGCGAATAATAATACTAGTTTTCTTAATTGAGGGCAATTAACCGCTTTAAAGATAAAACAACATGGCGGTATCGAAAAAAAAAACCGAGCAATGTTCGGTCATCATCTAGTGTATCTTTATCTTTGTTAATCGAAGTTTTCTATGAAGAATATGAATGAAGAATGTATGTCTAGGTTCTTGTCTCGTATATGTTTTTTAGATAGCACACGAGAAATTTTTTGCTAGTCGCCGTTGGCTCAAACTTTATACTAGACTACCAATAAAGCTTAATGTAATAACAAAATTTCACACAATAACAATCCGTAATAACTCAACGTAACTATGAAATTAAGTTTATGCAGAGAAAGCTTCTGTGGTTAGACCGCACATTCATACGAACGACTTTGTCTTTGAAAGGACAATGCTTATAAATGTCATACTATATTGTTCTTCTAGATCGTATAAATTAAATTCCACTCGTTTTTGTGAGAGTTGGAGAATGCAAGCAATGGCTACGACCGTTGGATATCAGTGTAAAAAGAATGGATAAGAGTAATTCCGATTTGAAGGGTGAGGCTGCCGTTGTATTGTAAAACTAAGACTTAGAACTTAAGATTCAAAGTGGGTGGCGCCATTTGCGTGGTTGGTGTCTATCGGTTCCAGTAAACACATAACACCATGCGGATCGTGAGCTCTTCCAACTATTTAAGCAACAAATCAAAAAAACATGAAAAAATTTAAGCAATAAATTTACTGGTGGTAGGACCTCTTGTGAGTCCAGACAGGTAGGTACCACCCTGCCTATTTCTGCCGTGAAGCAGTAATGGGTTTCAGTTTGAAGGGCCGGGCAGCCGTTTTAACTATACTTGAGACCTTAGAACTTATATCTCAAGGTGGGTGGCGCATTTACGATGTAGATGTCTATGGGCTCCAGTAACCACTTAACCCCAGGTGGGCTGTGAGCTCGACCACCCATCTAAGCAATAAAAAAAATATCTAGGCAATAAAAAATTATGTGTCAAACTTTAAATCGTAACTGCTTCGTAACATAAATAGGCAATATGACGATGCCTATCCGTACTGTGCCTTGCTGTCAGTAATTACGCAAATTTATAAAATTTGTGGTTTGATTTACAAGATAATGTTCCTTCGTCGTGGAAGTCACTTGTTAACATGTGTAAGCTACGTGTTTCTGTAGAACAATTGGTACCTGCCTGCGAGATTCGATAACAATTCGAGTCCTGGTAATTTAAGCTCGACTTTACCTAACTCGGTGATGCAGAAGTTAGCACCCCTGACTATTGCACTCGTGGGGTTTGATTCTCACATCGAGCAAACATTCGTGTGATGAACAGGGTTATTTGCTCTTTGTCTGGGCGTTTATTATCTTTGTATTTCTGTATAAAATTGTCATATACTAGAGGTCCCGCAGCAGTCGAAATTCGACTGTAATTAATTGGAATTGTAATTCTATAATCACATATTTCGCCAAGACTACATTATAAAAAATATTAACAAAGACAAACAATATTTAATCTATTCTCAATTTGACAACAGACGTCAAGAACAATAGTTTGACAATAAATAGACATGCGTGTGTGCGTCAAATACATGAAGTGTAGTGTGTGTAATGTTTTCTTTATTGATTTAATGTATCTTTTATGCATTATTTTTAAAAAATATTAGCATTGTGCACTTCTTCTCTATATTCTCTATAAGTGTGGAAAATTTTATACTTCTCCGTCCGCGCAATTTTCGTAAAAAGGGATACAAAGTTTTTGCTTCACGTATTAATATATAGATAAGTATGTATGTCAGTCTCTCGTACCTATACCACAGGGAATCCTAAATTGGAGCCGGAAGATCGTGCGTGATTTGCTCTCAGTTATTATTATTATCATAATTTTTTTTTAATTTTCAGTAATTAATGGGGCATACCACAGGCTTAGGTCAAGTGGAGTTCACCTTGGGAAGCT